GCACGGTTAAATTGGAATAAAAAATGCCTGAGCTGCGCAGCCATCCTGTGGAGGCCATTGGCGCAACGTTGCGTCGTCACATGGCTGATATGACAACGATGTGCTTGCATGAGCGGGTGTGCGCCCTGATTAAAGGCATTGTCTACACGGTCGCGCACACTCCTTTCAACAAGCATGAGCAATAACAATCCATATCCAGCTAGCCAGCCTAAGTGCATTGATTGTCGATGATCATTTCCAATGAGTTGTCATCAACTTGGCAATTAGCCTGTCCAACACTGGATGATCACAGGGGCCAATGGTATCAGGCAAGTCTCATTGGCAGCAGTACTCGCGGGCGTGGCGAGAATCATCTCAGTGGCACATTGAACTGCGTTTGCCTGCCCAATGCTGGCACTGGTCTTCTTATGAGGCACAGAGTCAGTTGATTGATGCAGAGCGACGAAAAGATGATGCCGATATTTTAGACGTTTATTTCAGAAGGCACGCCTGGTGCCATAAATGATTATGGCTGACTGCAAAGACCAAAAGTTGGCGGAAGCAACTGACTGATCATATTCGCGACTACCCCCTTACATCGACTAAGAGCATTTCTAAGCTCTCAACAGGAGAGACGCGCAAGGTATACTGGTTAGAGCATTAACCGAGTTAAAACCCAATTTGTTAGTGCTCGGATGAACCTTTGCATGTGGCTCGATGCGCACACCCATAAAGTGTTACTCGCCTCATCTGACGTTGTTGGCGATAACAACGGTGTCCATGCGTTCTGATATTGAACCGCCTGACGAGTCGATCCAGAATTTATGTTACGATATCCGCATACATGCGATTCAGGTGAGTTGAAGCAATACCGCCAAAAGAAATGACGAGCGCCGCTACGCCGCGCTTATCAGCCTACTTCTCATGATCAAGGAAACCAGTGATTTGGATATTCACCTGCCCGATGCTAATTCGACATATGCCCTAGTGCGATCCACCTGTAAGCCAACGCTGTTCGCCGGCTGTAGAGCAGTAACAATGCTACTATCCAGTATGCGCGACCTCGTCACGTTCTTTTCAGGATCCGATCCTGGCGACTATGAACGTAATCAACATTGGGCAATTAACTGGCCCAACTCGCAGTGCAAGCCACCCGGGGGCTGTACTGTCTTTTGATTACGGCGTGACCACCCCAATGTTATGTAAAGATATATCGTTTTGGTTTTCAGCCGACATATCGCAATGGCCGAGAGTATTGGCAAATTAAGGCAATTATTGGTTCTGTTGCTCACTGCGCTCTTCAATGGGAGTATCGAGTTGGCTCACGAGTCTACGCAGAACGTCATTCATTTCTGGATTTTTTGACAGTATTGGCTTGTATAGGCAAATGCACAGGACAGGCAGCAGCCATAGCCGATCAGTTGTGCTTGCGCTTGCTAGGTATGCGCATTCGAGCGATGAGCCGATTCAACAAACTCTCATACGGCTGATTCAACGATTACTGTTAAGTCGCTTCGTCCATGGTATCAAGCAATTCCGCCCGCTTATATTAATACTCGCATTGAGTCCTTTGTCTTGCCTGGACACATGAATCTGCAGCTTGACTACTATTGATTGAAAAATAGTGTGCCCGATTCGCTGAAACAATCGTGTTATATGTGAACCCACCATTGCGGAGGACTCGTTATCAACGCCTGTGTCAGTCAATTGCAAACCTTTACCGATGACATCACTCTTGATTTTTTTCATGAAATCTTGCAGCAGCGGTAAGCAAGCGTGGTTATAGAGGTAACAGCCATATTCAGCCGTATCAGAAATAGTGGCATTCATTTCATACAATTTCTTACGCGCGATGGTGTTAGCGATCAGGGGTGTTTCGTGCAAAGACTCGTAGTAAGCCGAATCAGCAATAATGCCAGCCGATGTCATCGTTTCGAACGCAAGCTCAACACCCGCCTTAACCATGGCGAC